AGCATTCCCCCTTTATCTGCCCCCGCTTTGACAACCTTGGCCATCCTACGCCATTTCTCGTTACGCTCGATTTCCTTCGCTTTCATTGCCTGGGCAGCTCTTCCTCCTTCTTCCTGTTCCGCAACCTCAGCCAAACCCGGAGGCAGCTTGAGCATATCGCTCGCCTCGTCTCTTAGTCTGCGGTCGCGATTGTGAGGTAGCCTGTTCGTCGCATGTCGCAGGGGTTTGTGGTTGCTGTGCGTGTCTGACGTCCGACCCGAGAAGATTGATCTGGCGGGTCTAGAAGACTTGCCCGAAAGTCGCCGCTTGGGTGAGCCTGTACGCGGGTCTACAGAGCGTGCTCTTGATGCGCTCCGACCTAGGCGCCGCCGCCTGGGCTCCTCGGATAGCAGTTGTAGTGTTGTTGTGACTCTGTGCATGCGGGGTTCGTCGGGGCCGTCGGGGCCATCGCCGTTGGTTTTCGATTTGGTCTTTTTGGGTATGATGAAGCCATAGCGATCGACTTCTCCGCCCTCAAGATCCGCCCAGTCCTCGAGTCCACCGGCTGCCTCCGTAGGCTCTTTGACAATGACGCTTCCGTGCCGTGAGCTGATCAGCGAGCTTGTGTCCTCGTTGCCCTCTCCAAGCACCGACGAGCCGTTAGCCGGAGTGTTGGTAACGCCGCTGTTGCCCAAGTAGCTGTTCTGCACACTGCTCGTCTCTGCTTCAGGTGTATCCCAATTGGCAGCACTCTCATTGCCATGCATGTACATGCAGCGGACCTTGCGCGACATTGTCATCTCGTCGGTCGACAGTACCCGATGGCTGGCGGATCGAGTTCGCGTCGAGTAGCGTGAGGTGGATCGCGGTGAGAGGTGTGTCGCAGCGGGAGCGGGTGGTGAGGGGTCTGGTTTGGGTGACTCGTCGGGTTGCGCCTGCTCCTTTTGTCGCGGTGGTGTGCTCGGTGCAGGCGCGCCTTCCACAAGGAGGTCCATCTGTTTACTCCGCCTGTTTGCCTTTTTGCCGCCCAACATCATGCTGCCCCGCTTCGAAAAGGATATCTGCGCGTCCGAGGAGAGGTCGTCGAAGCTGCCAGTCGGGATGTACGTGTCAATACCCGAGAAGTTGGCGTCGTCTTCGCCCGTTGCGCCGGCGTCGAGTGACTGGCGCTGTGACGCCTGGCTCTTGGTGCCTGAGGCGCGTTCATCCTGCACAACAATAGCAGGCAGACTGGGGGTCTTGCGCAGGCTACTCGGTGAAGGTGGCTCGTTGCAAGTAGTGCCGTTTGGCGGTGCTAGGGCCGAGTCTCTGCGGTCGTCGTCTACACTCAGTAGCGTGCGCTTCAGGGAGAACGCGCGAGGGCCTGGCGAAGTGCGTGGCCGGCGAACACCACTGAGCCATGATCGAGACGCGGGGCCCTTGGTCGACGTGATGCTGTGCACATTGGACGGCACCAGCGACAGCGGATTCGAGGCCTCGGACGTCTCCACCGCGGCGTGGCCAGCGGGATTCACAGCCTCATCACTCATCATGTGAGGCGCAGGCTGGTCCTGGTCATAGAGTTGGTCCCCGGGGAGAATAGCGGCTTGCAAAGCGAAATGAAGGGGAAATGAAAGGGCTGGGGCGAGACAGCACCTTGCGACTGCGGTCCAGAGTGCAGCGACGAAGGTATTCCCGGGCTATGTTTGAGCAACGTAACAGCGTCAATGCTATGGCAGATGGTGCAATTGAAAAGCAAAGACGTATGCGACGACACTGAGATCAAAAAAGGACCCTGGCATGGCTCGACTTTTCTGGGGAAAAGGGGCGTCGCTATCGACTGGTCGTGGGTCGCATGCCTTCTCCAGACCTCTTGCCGACCGGAGATTGCCCAGCGCGCCCGGTGGGAGGGTGACGCCTGCTCACCTGGCCGGCCCGCAGCTGCCTCAACCACCACAATCTATGTTTCTTTGTTCCACTCACCGCATCGCGCCAGCGTATTGGACTGCTCTCCTCGTCGCTCCTGTGGACGCTTGACGCGTAGATAACCCTTTGGCACCGTTTCAGCGCAAGATGCCCCGCGCTGAATCATGGAACCGTCTGAAAACCCCACAAAATCCAAAACCCGGCGACGATCGCTGTTCCACGCGTCAATAAACCTTCCGGTCATGGTTCCCAAGTGGATTGCGACTAACCAACCCGACGTCATTCTCCAGCTGGACTGACATCGTCTCAGTTGTCGTACGACTGAAGTTCAACTCGGGCAAGAGCCTCATCGATACAGAAAGAGCTGGCAGGAGAGCACGCTCCTTCCCCGAGTTGCACAGGCAATTACGCCATTCTCGTGCTTACCACGCCGACGAACGCGCAACGTGTAATCTCGTCCGACACGCCAAGGGTCGTCTCACCGCAGTGGCTTCAACAGGAAGGTGGCTTTGAGATTTGATATCTTCTATACTACAGTCCGAACCACCACAGGCTCAGTCAACGTACAAGTCTCACGGCATATCGCGCGTATTTGTACTTCAGCTTGGGCCCCGAGAGACGTACTCACGGCACTACACGGAAATTCGTGTTGCTACGCCAGCGCGACCTCCAGCTGAACCATCAGTTTGCGTCGTGAGGACGGAGTAGAGTCGCTTGACGAGACCGAGGGAGCGTCGTGGCCGTGGAGTGTGAATGAAGGTTCCTGCGCATGCACTTGTCAGCCTCCGAATATCTCTCGTATTACCCGGCGGTCTAGTGTCACAACTCTCAAACTGCTTTCCATGTGTACGCTCGGGACGTCATACGATTCGATGAGGACTCGGCAAGAAGATCAATCCCAAACCATGCCCGACGGTAAGATATAACACTTACCTCTTGAACCAGATGAGATGTCCGCAGGGTGCGTCCAATCTTTGTTACATGTTCAGCTTATATTGGCATCTCGTCAAACTATGCGTGTCTTCCCCAGGATCATTACTATTCACACCCTCCACCCGCGTCAACAATCGTAGACACAGTAACTCGTTCTTTCGACTCCCGTACAAAATCCCCTTGATCCCTCCTATCTTCTTATTTCACTCGCCACTGTCCAGCATACATTCGTGGCTGCGAGCTTGACTTCATGGTTTAATGGGCCATGGTCAGTCTGTATGCCCTCAGTCGGACCACTGACGGCCTCTACGTAGTCGCGCGTACGTCCCGCGGAATTGAAGGCTGACTGAAACTCAAGACATTGCGTTCTTATGATGTAAACAATATGTGATCCCGGGTAATCGCAGTCATAGACGGATCTGCGTCGGCCGCAGCAACGGGGTCTCAATGCGAGCACATCCTGCTCAACCCCAACCAACCAACTCCGTTAATTTGCCCAGATATGCTAAACGAGCGACCGGCTGTGTAAAGAAGCCCCGCTTTACCTGTGAACCGTGGGGCACACTGCCAGCTACCCCTCATCGCTTCCCTACCCGTCACGAATCAGTGACGATGGTTCTACGTTGACCTGTGGGGAACCTGCGAAAACCAATACGCGGTTGGCACAGAATATGTACCTATACAGAGAGTGTTGGCCTAAGGGTTCATAAAGACGAATTTCCCCGCCAGACGTGTCTAGGTACGTCATCCGTCATGGCATCTTCTCTGGATCTGATCAACCAAGCTCCCAGTGTATGTAATCACGAATAACTGAGAATAACATGCGACTGACAGTCAAAACCAGGGAACCAAGCTATGGGTACATCACTCCACAGGCCCCATTCCAACTACGCCATCCTAACATTACACACATCAGGTCTTGAACCTGGGCACATTAGAATGTGACGACGGGTGGTTTATCCGAGCAGCAAACGCGTCCTCATCGTCAAACCCAAACCCGACCAACAAACGCCGTAAACTGGTCATGCTTGGCATCCTTATCCAGCACCCAACCGAGGGCCTCATCCTCTACGAGACCGGCGCGGGGGAAAACTACCCCGAAGACGTCGGTCCACCAATCCAAGACATCTTCACCCGAATCGATCACGACGCGTCTAAGAATCTAGACGCGCAAATTGCCTTGACCGGCCACAGCATCAATGATGTGAAGATGGTTATAATAGGCCACCTTCATCTCGATCACTCTGGTGGCTTAGAACATTTCCAAGGAAGAGACGTACCCGTCTACGTCCACGAACTCGAAATCAAACACGCCTTTTACAGCGTCGCCACCAAGACAGATCTAGGGGTCTACCTTCCCCACTACCTCACCTTCGACATAAACTGGGTCCCCTTCCACGGGTCGTACTACGAGATCGCCCCTGGAATCAATCTACATCATGCACCTGGACACACCCCCGGACTGACCATCATGCAGGTGAATTTCAAAGAGAGTGGGACGTGGATCTTTACGAGTGATCAGTATCATGTCAAGGAGAATTATGCGGATGGCGTGCCGCAGGGGTGGTTGGCGAGAGATCACGATGCGTGGGTCAGGAGTCATCAGATGATTAAGGGGTTGCAGAAGAGGACGCATGCGAAGGTCGTGCTGGGGCATTGTTGGGATACGATTAGGGAGTTGGATGTCGAGTTTGCGCCTAGGGCTTATGAGTGAGTAGTGCGCAAGAGAAGCCACGGTGTGTTTAAGTTGGCTTGGGAAATGAGACAGATGTAGAGGTACGAATCTGGTGTTGGATCTGGCAAGGGAATAGAATGGGAAAGCGCGATGTCGATCGATGTAGGAATGAGGATGGCGCATACATAGTGTGGTGAAACTGGTGCGATGCCACTCAGGCATTGCGTGTGAAGAATTCATGCAACGAGAGGGTGTGGCTGGGATAACTACGAAAGGTAGCACAAAAACGAGTGGAATAAAAACGACAAGCAGCATCCGCTATTTCTATTCTGCGCATTGCATCACATTTCTGCGGGCATTGGGAGGCCTCGTGCGCGATTCCTCTTTTTGGGTTTAGCGTGCGGCTTTTCCGGCTCTTCATCATGTTCTTATCCGAGCTCTTAACTTCTGACTCCACTTCCTGAACCTGAGCAAGGAGCCAAGAACGACGAACCGCGAAGCTTCAGCCATGAACGAGAACAATCCTCCTCGAACGGCTTCTGCCGACGTGGAGCCGAAGCATGCATCGACTGCTAGATGGACACCCGCCAACGGCATCGAAGCAGTCACGACTGTGACCCCGGCAAGCGCAAGTTCGGATGAACCGAGATCACCACCTGCAAAGAGAAGGAGAGAGGAGCGTGAGAGGAGTAGGGTCAGTAGAGCTTGCGACCGATGTAAGAAGTGAGCTTGTGGAAATTTGGGCGCACATGCGGTGCTGCATAGATTCTATGGATGCGCTAACGCTCAGAGCAGGAAAAAGGTTAGATGTACCGGAAGATGCCCTTGTGCGCTCTGTCTGCGATCTGGGTTGCCGTGCGAGTTTACTGCGTCGTATACTCGAGGAAGACTGCCTTCTGTCATTGTCGACGATCCCGCGATAGCCTCAGATGCACTAGCCTCAAGACGGAAAGAGAGCTTAGCCTCTGGGACGTCTGCGAAAGAAGAGACTGCGATATCGACAACACAGTTCCCACGCATTTATCCTAGTCCTCTGACTCCTATCGACCCGCAGAGTTATTCGAATCCTGAAAACTCCGAATCAAACGCTCTAGGCATGGCTACAGACCAGATCAATCGCCCTTCCTCGCGAGATTCTCCGGTACCTCAGGGCGCCCAACGAGATCAAGAAGGCCACTATGTTGGCTCTTCAAGCGCAGCATCGTTTCTCATCCGTATTCAGAAGCGTCTGCACACGAATTCCTCCTTGTCGCATGACTCTACCATCTTCACCTTTGGCGACGCTCCCCTCCCTGAGTTTGATCTTTCCATCTTCGTTCCACCACCAAAGCCTGATGCGCAGAGGCTTGTGGAGCGATATTTCGACTATGCAGCACCGACTCATCGCTTTCTTCATCGACCAACGATTGAACAGCTTGTCGAGGAGTTCTATGACACCCAAGGCGAGATGAGAAGTAAAGAAGATGGCAAAGCAAAAGTTGCATTGTTGATGGTAGTCTTTGCGCAAGCACAAGCATATATGCCACTCGGCAGTACGGTGCAGACTAGCAGGTTTGTCGACGCTGCCGCTGTTGTAGGCTCTGCTAATGTCGAATAGCGCTCGATACTTCCGCGCAGCCGAAGCGCAACTATTGCAAGAACGCGGCGCCGTAAGGCTAGCGAGCGTTCAGGCACGACTGCTGCAATGTTTCTACCTCCTGACACAATCCCGTATCAACCACTGCTGGAGTCTCTTCGGCGAACTCTCGCATCTCGCCTTCGCTATCGGCCTGAATCGTGGAAGGAAATGCGATCCTTCGACCAAGGTGGACTATGTAGAGATCGAGAGCCGAAGACGCCTATTTTGGGTGGCATACTCACTAGACAAGTACCTCGCCGCTGCTCTAGGTCGTCCACGGACTTTCAAGGACGAGGATATCGATCAAGTAAGTGTATCTGGCGTCATCAAAGTTGGGGATCACTAACACAATGGGTCCAGGAGCTGCCTACCATCATCAACGACAACGATCTCCAACCGAACTACATCAACCTACCCTCGCGGCTTACTTATTCCCTAATGACAGCCCCTGTTGAGCACATTAAATTGACACGCATCGTGTCTCTCGTGCTACGAGACCTTTACTCAATTCGCCCGCCCAGTCTGGCCTTGCGCATCGAGCTGTCGTCGAAATATACATCAGAACTGCACGCGTGGAAGAATTCCCTGTCAGGATTTCTTTCCGGTTCGACCTCGATAGACCGTATCGACAACCAGTTGCTCATACCAGTCTACCAGCGTCAGCGTTCGGTGCTCAATCTGGCGTACCACCATGCGCTGTTGCTCATCCACCGACCCTTCTTACTGCGAGACTTCGCGAGTCTGACCCATATGGGCACCCATCCCAACTGGAGCGCCGGACTCAGCACAACGTATGACGCATCGGCAAACATCACCGCTTGCCTCGAAGCTGCCATGTCTATTGTACGCTCGGTAGATGACGTGTTCAAGGCGTCTAACCTCTTCCGCTCTTTTTGGTTCACCCAGTACTACGCCTTCTGTGCGGTGGTAGTGCTATACATCCATCGCATTCAGCAGGGCTTGGGTGTGAAGACCAAAGTAGAATGCGAGGGATATTTCGAGGCTGGTGTCAAATGTCAGAGGCAACTGGAGACAGTTAGTGATACCGACTGCCTTGCGCATCGTTATTGTGTCGTGTTGGAAGAGCTTAGGACTGAGGCAGTACGCCAGTCAGGCAGATTATCGACGCCAGTAGCCGACAATGCCAGCTTCCAGGACACATCGCTCCTCTCGTTACCAATGTCGGCTCCAAACCCCGATTCCGTCGCGCCTGCGGCGAATCTGCCACCCCTGATGTACAGCAGCAACAACAGTAACATCGACATCTCCGATAGCGCAGCAGTATTCAACAACACTAATAACAACGCGACTAACCCTACGTTCTCGTTCGATCTACTCGACTGGTCCGACTTCGCTAGCTGGGGACAGTTCGAGGGCCTTGTGACGGCCGGCAATGGTTCCTTCGATCCGGTAACGCAGAGCGAGAATGACTTCTGGTTTGGGTCTTGAGCGGGCAACAAGAAAAAAGCCGAACAGGCCTACAGCCTACATCAACATGGCAGAATACAAGATATGTGACCTAGCGTTGATGTAGGCTCTAGACCTGCCCAGGTGTTCAGCCTGGAACGACGCTCATAGAAGGAGTAAAAGCATAATGATAATTGTCTTCATTCAATCGTGTAAGAAACGCCATGATGCGTCCAGTGGGTATCTCGAAAAGGAAAACAGGCTCTACTATGCATACCCATGACCGTGAAACCATCTCAAAATGCCGGAGTCGTCATACAAGATGGTTCGATTGAAGTGATTGTACTATTTCTTGAAGCTTTTAAAACAAAACTTCAAGAGAAAATACAATCACTCCAATCAAACCATCTGGTATCAGGTACTGCTTACCGCCTCAAAAGTCTCTGCCACCTCGACCTAGACGGCTGATCTGGCTGCTGCACGGCCGTATCCGCCGGACCCGCAGCCGCAGCCGCAGCATCATTCGCATCCTCACTCTGCTCCCCCGTCTGAGGCGTACGATCCTGCAACTCCACTGCAGGTTGAGCCTGCGCTTGAGCCTGAGCATTCGTCCTCGCCTCAACAGCCTGCTGTCTCCTGATCCCACTCCCATGCAAGAAGTACTGCCAATTACTCATAGGCCGCGGCGTAGGTGTCTGATTCGCAGTCCCCGCTTCCAACGCCGCAGGCGTCGCATCGCCGCCTAGCGCAATCCTCTCTTCCTCGTCGTGCTGATCGAGCGCTTCTTTGCTCATGTACATGGAGCGGCATATTGGACAGCTGGTCTTGCGGAGGACGAACCAAGAGACAAGGCAGTCGGCGTGGAATTCGTGGCTGCAGACGAGGAGCTTGAGGATGGTTTCGGAGTCGGGGGTGGTGGTGGGTGTTTGGTCGGCGGCATCGGAGGATGAGGGTGAGGTTGAGGGGTCTGTGGATTGGGGGAGCGAGGCGGGTAGGGCCGCGGCATCGGTTATGGGTGTTTCTGGGGAGAGTTTGGCGGGTTCTGGTGGGGCGGGGGCGTGGAGGGTTGAGAGACAGATTGCGCTGGATAGGATGTTAGTTGAGAGTCGGGATGGGTATGGTAGTCCTTCTGAACTTACCATTCTCTTTCGAGCACCGAGCGTGTCTCTACTACCCCGAGCGCTCCCTCATTGTCGTCGTCCGCGCCATCACGATGTTGCGATGATGAGGATCCAGCAAGACTGACAACCTCGGTGACTTCATTCAACTTCTCCCTTGCTTCCGCACGCCTAAGCGCAGGCTTCTTTGCTTTTGGTAGCGGGCGGCGCACTGGGACAGGAACAGCTTGTCGTTTTCTCCGAATGCAGAATATACACAGACTATATCAATAACAATTAGCCCAGTCCTTTCGCCAGCCATCCCAGTCTCATAGACCCCATCCATTTCAAGAGTCCAAGTAGAATTCCGAATAAGACTTACAAAGGCGCCACAATAGCAACAACAAACACGGGAATCAGAAAACTAAACGCGGTAGGCGTCATCCCAGACTGCCCCACGGTATCGCGCCATTCGCGCGCTTCCAGACTGCGAACAAAACCGTGGCTCGAAACCGCAGGCATTGTTGTTTCCAAACTTTCGAGAATGCGGAATGCAGCGTCGGCTTGGTTCAACTGACGTGTGTGTGGGGGAAACGCAGCTCAAGCTTGGTAGCTGGGGGCGAAGGGATGCGTCTCGACCTCGACACTTTTGGTGCGGGGAAAGGCCAAACGTAGGCGTGGTAGGATCTGCGATGACGGGGGAACGACGGAAGAACAGCGCGGGTATACCGGCAAAACCAGCGAGGACGATTGCGCGTACAAATCGCACGTCCTTGCGTCTATCGTATGCGTCCGTTTCGTGTCGTGTATTCGATGTAATGAATGATGTTTCCGCGGCCGTACAGAAGGTTTCAAGCTCACGACAAACAAGATGTGCGTAGCGCTCACTTCTTAACACTTGTTAGCAACCCCCCATCTTACCCCGGAGGCCCACTTACCCGAGCGCTGTCGCGCTTCCTATGACACCTGCACCCACGCGCTCAGCCTCCACAGCCACGTCTTTTTTCGCCACTTCTTGATTACGCTCAAGGAAGCTTGGCTCGGCGTTCTAGATGCGTGATGGGGACGGCTGAAAAACGCCGAGCTGCAGCTTATCCATCCTTATCACGGTCCGATAGACTTGTAGGATGTTGCATGTGTGTAAACTGGTCGGGTTGGTTGGGCTGAACGCTTCCACGGCTGGTTTGCAGCGTCAGCGGTACCGGGGTTGGTAGCGAACGATGATGCAGAGCGCAGACATGAGGACAGCGGGAAACGGGAAAAAGCAAGATCAAGCAATAAAGCCTATCGTTCCCAACATCGCTGTTCGCACAGTTCTTTCAACTCCAACAGAGCTCTAGCCTGCACTTCCCCATTGCCATTACCCAGCCAGCGCCCGCCTCACGATCCCCCAGCCGCTCATCGGCACGACCTTTTTCGTCCTGCTCAGGCCATTTCCAAGACTACTGCTGGTGCTGCATCCCTGGGCTGACGTACTCCACCAACGCACTAAATCCTTGGTGCGGTCTAGGCGCCGAGGCAGGACGCACTGTCTCGGTCTTGGTGTGAGTGGAGCGGAAAGGTTTGGCATGCCATGGCGGAGTGGGCAGGCTGTGGGGATATTGTGGGTCGGGCGGGCTGCGTGTTGCGCAAGCCTCCGAACAGACTTTGAGGGAAGGACGCCTGGGGGACTGTAAGTGACTCGTGCCGAGGCGGATTTGTGGTCGCGCTCGTCTCGTGATAGTTTGACTGCAATTCCTTTGGATTATAGTTTGGGTGGTTGGGTATGTGGTGGTGTGGATGGGCTGGACTCGCGTCGAGGTGCATGTTAGGTGCTGCTGCAGTGACGATACGCTTGAAGATCTAATTGGATGTCAGCATCAAATGCAGGCAAATGTGAAAATGTAGATGTGGATGGTAAAACTTCGTTGTTCAGTTCGTTGTGGTATCTAGATTACTATGTACATGCTGTATGACTATAACAGCCTTTTCATCGCAGCCATGATGGCAAGAGGTATCGCGATCGCGTGCTATGCAAACAACTTCAAACGCCTTATCCAGGACCAAGCCTGGCCCTAAATATTAAGAGCTCTCAAAGAGATTACTCGAAAAATATCATACTTCCTCGTGTCATTTCTTTGCTCATGCACTCGACTTCTTCTCGCCATCCTCCCCGTCAGTGCTGATAGCTGTGCTGAGGTATCGCTCAAAGACGCGCGACTCCAGATCGACGGAGCCCCTCCTGGCAACGCCATTCTTAGCATCGCGCTTCCTGAAGTACACGCGCTTGCCCCACTTCCAGGACTCGATGCCGAGGAAGAACAGGAATGTAGCGACGAAGACGATCGCCCATTCCCAGCTGATGCCCTTGTGCCTGAAGACGGTGTCGTTGATGACAGGAATATACAGGACAGGGAAGATGGTGACGAAAGCGAAGACGATGGAGAAGAAGAGGAACTTGTTGCGCCAGACGTCAATGGCCCATTGCGTGAAGTACTTCTTGGAGTTGGGCTGCATCATGAAGAACGAGCGGCGCATGTCCAACATTTGCCATGCCAGGAAGACGGAGAACCAGGTAAGGCAGGCGAAAGTGGTCGCACGAGCGCGGAAGACAGTGTCGCAAGTGTCGTTGAACGATTCGTTGCAGCCGTTTCCGAGGTTGCCATCTCCGAAGCCAAACATGACCAGGGAGAACGCGCCGAGACAGAGAGCGGCAATCCAAAGACCGTAAACGAACATGTCGAGGATGACCTCGATGGTGAAAACACCGCGCTTGAGCTGCGATTTGTTAGCATAAATGCAAAGAGTCAGTCACAGCAAGGGAAACTTACATTTTGAGGTGGGCGAGTGAGAATGTCTGGTGCAGCGACCTCGAAACCGAGACCCATGTCGGGAAGAGAGGAGGTAATCATGATGATCCACATGACTTCGACGGGAGACACTGGGAAGACTGAGAGTCCGCTCTCATCCTTGAATGCGAGACCAATGAGCAGAACGCAGGCTTGCGCAATGTTCTGAGCGAGTAGATGGAGAATGAACTTTTGGATATTGTCAAACATGCGGCGACCCTCCTCGATAGCGTTCAGGATAGAGGCGAAGTTGTCATCGGTCAAAACAATGTCGGAAGCGTCTTTGGCAACATCGGATCCAGTTCCCATACCGATACCAACATCTGAGCGCTTAAGGGACGGGGAGTCGTTCACACCGTCACCAGTCATACCAGTGAAGGCCTTGCGTCGGTGAAGGGCGTCGATCATGCGGACCTTGGTGTTCGGGGCGCAGCGGGCAATGACCAGAGGAAGTAGGGGAAGAGCGTCGATTTCGTCGTCGGAGAGCTTGTCGAACTGCGATGCAGTCATGACCATGGCATCTGCGGTTTCCTTGGGAAGAGTGTTCATGTTCGATGGCACAATACCGACTTCAATGGCGATTGCGCGAGCGGTACCAGGGTGATCACCAGTGAGCATGTGGACTTCGATACCAGCCTTCTGGCATTGGCGAACGGAGCCGGCAGTCTCGGGGCGGGGTGGGTCGTACAGTCCAACAAGACCGCGGAAGATCAAGCCATTCTCGATACTCTCGCGGTCAAGGTCCTGACCCTTCTCAGGTGATGGGCCATCGTACTCCTTGCTTGCGAGCGCCAAAACACGCAGACCCATGGAAGCCAAGGATTCCATGTTAGCCAAGATCTCTTCGCGGTAGTCGTCGTCAAGGTCAACACCAGATTCGCTCTCATCGTTGAATACGCGAGTGCAGGAGTAAATGACACGCTCAACAGCACCCTTGGTGAATACGTATTTCTTAGAGCTAGCGGTTTCCTCAAAGATAACGGACATCTTCTTGACATCGGAGTCGAAGGGGAACTCGGCAAGCTGCTTCCAGGCAGGTGTGTCACCACCGGTGTGTTCGAGACGGTTCCACTTGAAGCGAGAGGCAAAGACTTGGATAGCGATTTCAGTTGGGTCACCTCGTGCGTTCCATTGACCTTCGTCAGTCTGGTGAACATGGGCCAAGTTGGCGAGCGAAGCAACCTTGAGGTAGTCGACCAGGTGCTCGTTGTCCTGCAGAAGCTCCTCCCATGTCTCCGTCTTCTCATCAACATCAGGGTCGATGTGGCGTGGCTGTTTGGTGTTGAACATCAGAGCGCCAACGGTGGGGTTGTGTGGCTCGTCGGACTGGCCAACCGAGTATGTGCCCTTAGCAGGGATCCATGCTTTCTTTGCAACCATCTTTCCTTGTGTGAGAGTACCAGTCTTGTCGGAGCAAATATCAGTGACACCACCAAGAGCCTCGAGCGACTTCAGGTTGCGAACAATAACGTGACGTTGCACCATGCGCTTTGTGCCGGCGGCCATTGTGATGGTCAAGACGACGGTAAGGGAGGCGGGAATCATACTGAGACCAGTGGCTACGGCGTAGATGATGACCTCGCTGTTGTTGGAGAAGCTGTTGGCGGCCAAAACGATGATTGCGCAGACGACGGCGACACCGAAAAGGAGGATGGCGAGACGAGCGAGCTTCTTCTGCAGGGGAGTACCGACGTTGACACCAAGGAAGTGGCCGACGGCATCAGCAGCAGTCAAAGACCATGCCTGGGCGTAGCGATGAGGTTTGGCTTTGCCATCAGGCTTGCGCTTGACTTCGCGGACGCGGGAACCCTTCTGTCGAAGAGACATGGCGATGGAACCGATCTCAGTGTACATTCCAGTAGCAAAGACGACACCGCGAGCGCGTCCCTTGGTAACGGTCGAAGAGCTGTAGGCGACGTTGAGGCGGTCACCAGGGCCGGTGTCCTCGTCGAAGACGGCATCGCCATCTTTGTTGACTGGGAGGGATTCGCCAGTAAGTAGAGCCTCGTCGGTTTCAAAGTTTAGGGCTTCGATGATACTGGATGCGAGTCAGTGACGTACAAACTGGTTTAGCGCAATTCAACGTACCGGATGTCAGCCGGGACAGTGTCACCTGTCTTTAGCTCAATCAAATCACCGGGAACAACCTCAATGGTTGGCACAGTAACAGTCTTTCCGTCTCGTGCAGCGGTAGCTGTTGGCGAGGAGAGTGATCGGAGCGAGTCCATTGTCTTTTCGGCATTGAACTCTTGGACGAAACCGATGATAACGTTGAGCAGAATGATGGCGGTTACTACACCACCCTCAATCCACGATTGAATAGCGAAGGACACAGCCATTGCAGCGATCAAGATCTGGGATTTGTTAGGATTGTTACATTGTGTGCTCATTGAGGTAACATACCAATGTCATTGCGTTGGCGACCTGCCTTAGCAGAATCTTGCCTGGTGATACACCTCCATCGTCGCCCAGATCGTTGTTGCCGTACTTCTCATGTCTCGACTTTGCTTCCGCAGTAGTCAGACCGTCTTCGTCGTTACACTTGATCTCGGCGACGACGTCCTTCCATGGGAGGGCATGTGCGGGTTTGGAGAGAGGCTCGTTAGCCTGGCCGGACTTGTGGCCCTCGAGAGACGGTGCCTTCTTGCCCATAGTGAGTGATTTCTGGTGCTAAGAAGTGAATGGGATGCAGACAAAAGATCTAGATCCGGGGACATGGCAGACTTTAAACAAGCAAGTTGGCATGCGGGTGCACACACCATGAGAGCAGCCAAGAACCGTGCGATATCGAGAGCTTGGCGTGATGGTGACTATCTTGGGACCGGTGCAGGGAACGTCATCGTCGGTAACGGTCGGCACTCGTCAACAAAGAGATGCATGCATGTCCGCAAACGTTTGGTTGTCAGCCCTCTGGATATAATCGATGGCACCTCTGACCCTGCCTGCCTTTTACCACACTGCACAACAGCATCATCGAGTAACGTTGAGACGATTGAGCGGCAGATGCCATCCCAAAGTGCTGTAAGTACTGCCGGGCATGACGACAGCGGGGTTGGTAACACCCGTTCACCAGCACTGCGAGCGGGGATGAGTGAAAAGAGGTGGCGAGCTGTTCGGTCCCAGCCAAGCATCCCGCTCGCCTACGATCCGCCTAGCCGTGCTAATTTCTCGGCGCAGGCGTAATTGTGCCGACTTCCGTACCGAAGCCACAACACCAACGTCATTTTGCGCCAGATTCCAAGCACGCTGCCATCGACTACAGATGCTCAAGCCACTTACCTTCACGCACACCCTTGCGCCAAGCCTCGATTCTCTCGTATCGCTCCAGGCGCCCAACACCTTTCCGAGCGTCCTCCGTGGAACCTGCTGAGGTCGTCACGCCGCATGCTAACGGCGAAGCTTAACACCAACATGACAAGGCGTATTTCGCCTGGATATCCCCACTGAGACGGGCCCAAGCCAGCCTCTTGTCGCTCTTATCTGTCACCGGTGGCTTGACTGCAGCGCCGAGCTTTCCGTCGCGGGTCACGAGACTCAACAATCATTCCTGCAACAAGCACCAAGGTCCGCTTACTCCACACCTTCCATCTTGATTACGGAAGGTTCTAGTCGCAAGCTAGATCGGTCGTAATACTTGCGTCTATAACGTGCTCAGTTGCTTTGTCATGGTATCACAAAGGCAGAATCCGGTACACTGTGAGCATAATAACTTCAATTGCCGTCATGGGGATATCATATATGAGGGAAAATTTGCATCCATTTGACAGCCGTAATGGCCTCAACTCAACTACATGCGCATAAAAGTGGGCTTACCCCACTTCTACCACGATTCAGACAAGCACGCAAGAGATGGGTCTCTTGGAATATCCCACGCCTTGGCATGCCTCACGCCATTTCCCTGCCGCGGTCTAGTCTAAGCATCCCAGTCCTCCGAGCACCCATCGGAGAACCAAATTTTGTCGCTTGTATGTCTGTCTAACATTTCAACGGTGATGCGCTCTTTCACAGCGCGATCGAGGCTCGTTACTACCTCATCTCCTTCAGCTGTAAGCGAGAAGCCGCCGGTGAGATGCTCAGCTACATTGTCGGTGGTGTACCTGCCGGGTTGGTATATATTGTTGAAACGGGTCTGGTATTGAGAAAGTCTGGCGAATCGAACACTTGTTAGGCAAGGAGACATCGTCAACTGCTTGAAGATCGTAAACCAGGTTGCATCTTTTAGCTCGACGAGTCCCGGTTTCAGCTTTCGTCCATTGACCTCTTGAACCACTCCATCCTCGTCGGAATCAGAATCTTCGACATCCGCAAAGTCGGAGGGCTCAAACGCATCTTCGTCGGAAAACCAACCATACAGATTCGCGCCACAAAGGTGAAGGCTCTGCAGGGTTTTTCGGTGCTTGAACAGAACCCTCTTGAAAAGAGGGGATGCTATCGGACTACTACGGATGTCGAGGTGCGTGAGAGTAGGGAACTGGGTCCATCGAAGGAAGGTGGGCACATTCTCGCTACACAACGTAAGCGACCTGAGATTACCGCTGACGGACTGCAGCAACGCTATGATCCACCACTTCTCAAAGATTTCGAATGTCCGGATGAACTTCAAGCGTGTAACACGGTGCTGAACGCATGTCCAATCGGAGCTCGAGATATCGAACGGTTGTTTCTCGTAACGCAATACCATCGTATTCAATGCGACTTCCAGAGTCCAGTCTTTGCGATCTTCGATACCTCGCAGCGCCGAGAGCACTTTGGCGATGTGGCCATGTAGCTTACCGCGGCAGGAGTCTCCTTCGTTGCGAAGTGCCCATTGAGGGCTAGCCCAATGTCCGTAGGCTCCCCAGCCCATTTCGCGAAGGACGCGCTTCGAGCCCCAAGCCTCAGTCCAGGCAGCAGCATCATCGTCTTTCTTTGGGTAAGAGTCTTTCGGGTAAGAGTCAATGCGTACATGCTTCAAGTTCGGGAAACCTCGCAGTGCCGACTTCAACATTTCCACTGCTTCATCGCTGGCATCAAACTCTTCCTGCTCTTCAACAAGCTTTGCGTGCTTTGGCCCATACGTCTTGGGCCAGTTTTCCTCCTGATCTTTAGACCTGCAATTCTTTAGCTTCCAAAAAGCCATGTATCCGTTCACGTGCTCAGGTCCGATAGCCACTTCTTCGACGTAATTTCTGAAAACAGGATCGGTGGAGATGCTCAGAAGGCATTGGAGACTGGCGCGGGACAGCATATGTTTTCGGGTAGTGAAACAGCGTTTTGTCCAGTCGTCATATGTCGTTTCTTTTATGCGCCGGCTCGTGGAGCGGAGATTGCACAGGTCGTCACCAGAAAGAATGGCCTTGCCCTTGGCATCTGTGCTTTGCGTTACTAATCTCATGAGCTCGACGGGTAGCGCTTCTAGGCCTGGCTTTGAAGACGTCGTAGCTGCTGTGGATATGTCGAGGGTCTTGAGCTCCTCGGAGAGAGCCTCTGGATCTTGCTGTGGAGACGCCATTGCTGTAGGTATATTGAGCTCCTTTAGTGGGTATGGATGGTTTGCGTCAAGTTCGTGGTTGTAGCAATCCAGTCGATGAACACTTTCTGTGGGCTGAAGGAAGAATCGGAAGAGCTTCGAGACTTAGACTTTGAAGGCTTTGAGGAAGGTACCAGCGGTGAGGGAACACTGCTGAAACATCGTATTGGCGCTGGAGCAATGTGAATGCAGCGATCTAACAGTCGCTTCTCCTCGCAATATGCTTGAGAGGCTGACTTCCGCAAAACTGACTGTGAAGCGATATATCACGAAACACCACATGTGCTTTTTCACATTGTGAAGTCTGGGATAGTGAAATGCCATATGCATGCATATGAGATACCCCAACTTCTCCCCTCAACATAGTAGCCATGTGTAAAAGCATCTTCAACGAGCGTTGTAACGCTTTCGATAGTCGTCGCCACCACTACTTGAGTGAAAGTCCAGGAACAATCAGATTGAGCCAACGCCTCCTTCTACCATGCTTGGAGCAGAGCAGTGGTTGCTTCCAACAAGATGTCTAGCTCGGAGGCAGTGAATGGCAAGATAGGGGAGTCTCCAGCATCAACATCCGCCACCACAGCATTAGGAGTGACTTCGACTACATCTGCGCTTTTCGGTTCTTCCTCGAGGATGACGCGGGAAGGATATAGCTCCGAGTTGTCACCAGGAGTGAGATTGAACACCGTGCCTGGACACACCATTAGTCAAGTCCATTCCGTGGCTGTCGCATCTAAAACTTACCGCGATAAGAAAGACCAAAAGTCCTGTCCATCCACGCAACTGCATCCCAAGTCCGAAGATCATAGTCATCCCATGCCTGATCCCAGCAGCACTCTGGAACATCAATACTCCACTCGATACCCATCGAGGGAAGGATATCCAGCGCGGGTTGCGGATAAGAGATGAACTCAAGGTCCTCGTATCCGGCTCCAACCCAACTCGAGCATGCAACACCAATGTATTGTAACAGGGGAAGCTTATTTCGATAACAAGGTAAGGTCGTAAGCCACTCAAGGAATGTAAGCTCCGGAAAATGCACCTTCAGAGTCTCGAGGGTTGATGGCAGAATCTCATCCGCCGGCTGCAGAATATGCGACCATTCCGGGTCAGCTCGTCCGAACAGGCATTGATAAGGTACCAAAAGATGCTTGAGCGCCTTGAACTTGAGGAAGCCATCTCCGGGTAGTACGTCGTCTAAAAAGTAGGTGTCGACCTCACCGCAATGAGCCGATACGTCTAGTTCTAGCCGGATCAAAACAGCTTCCACTGGCTGGAGCCTCCGCAGCAAGACATTGTAGCTACCCAGTGTGATGGTATCGAGAGGGAAATCCTTACGGTGTTCGGCTATTCCGTCGTCGGCATCATTGAAGGGCATGCGTAAAGTTTCCAAGCAAGGAAAGTGTGCGAGAAAGGGAGATAAGGCGTCGTAGTAGGTACAAGCTGAACTGAGAACGTCGGATTGTACTGGGACTTTGAGGGATTTGACAGCAGAATTAACTTCAGACGAGGCCCCATCGGCCAAAATTTGGCTGGCACGAGTGAGAACAATATCCTCCAGATATGGAAACTTGGCGAGTATCCAATGGAACACAGTGCCTTGAAATTTGAGGCTTTGTAGCTTCTGTAGTCCAGGGAATGATTGAAGATGTGCTATGCGACTATCGAAATTGAGGAGTAGCCTGCTCAAGCAATCAGGAACGAGCATGGGCCTCCCACTGTCGTCATCGTCGTACTTTGCAATCGACAAGCTAAGGTGTTTGAGCTCGGTCATTTGCCAGAAAAGAAGGGCGCATGCGATGAAGACTTCTGGCCATCTTGCATGAATGATAGAAGGAAACATCGCACCCTGTGGTACAACACCAGACGCTGAGGTCTCGATACTTATTGGCCGATCAATGACTTTGATGTTGAGACTTTCGGTCTTTTTCGATAGATCAGGCCGCGACTGGATTGTCCGGTAGAATGGCCATAGATCTTGTGACGGAATGTCGTCCTCCTCAATGTGCCAGCCTAGGGTCACGTCGCGATATAGCTTTCGTTCGACAAGCGCGCGCAGCTTGGGGCTTATACATGCGATGCTGGGAAGACTGCAGGGCGGGCAATGATGAACAACGGACTGAAGAAGCTCTGTGGGTAGTTTCCCCAAACGGCTGTTATCAAATGGAAGAGCGCTGCCTGTGGCTTCGTGAGGACCTGGTGGTGAGGTAGTATCCATTGCCACAAGCGGCGTAGCCGTCCAATTCCCCGACGAGGTGGTGTCAGTGGTGACGAGTTCGATAAAGTAACGTACATAGATGAGAGGTACCTAGGTAGTGAGTGAGATGAGAACGGCACTATCCCTTTTTGGACTAAGCGCGGTGTAGGTAAGAGAAAAGGCTGCTTCACCTTCACTTGCTTGATGTAGGCAACAGTACACTCATCCCGCTCAACATGCTGTATGATATAGAGATGAGCATTTGTGCATTGGCGAAGCGAAGGCTGTCTATTCATGGACATCCTGGAATCGTCCCGGCACCGCGACAGTATGACCTATTCAGGCAATGCCCTATCTTGTATGGCCTGATACAAACGCTGCTCCACAGCAGCGCTATTAAAGAAAATTGCCGCGTCTTCGCGTGACCACGATACGTTCACAGACGCCGGAATCTGTTTAATAAACCATCTGGCAAAGCGCTCCAACTTCTCGTATTGAATCCGCAGTACTTCCAAAGCTTTAGGATCCGTAGACCCCGCTGCAGTTAAGCGGTAGAATTCACTCTCCGTGAAGGTGATACTGATACGCTCAAGCTTGAGCATGTAGTATATGCGGCCCATGGGGTTCATCCATGATTCTGAGGGGTAACACCCGCCGGATGGATCTTTACGGAACTGAAATTCCAGCTCTTTCAGAAGCTGCAGGATAGTCGGGTTTATTGTAGTTGACATGTGTAAACACTTGAGGCCGTGGCCATATTTTATTGCGCTTTCTTTGTCCATAAGGCCGGGTTCCACTTGAATGAACATTCTTCGGCTCCCGTAGAAGAGCTTCCTCACTTCATTGTGTAACTGCCTGTTGGTTCGCATGATGTTGAGGCGTGGACGCGTGACGTGTTGACGTGAATGGTCAAGGAGGATGCGAGGCCCAGGGGGAAGAAGGAATGAGTATGTGTGGAGCCGAAGCTCAGCGGGAAGGCGGAGGAAGGGAAAGGGGTTGACTAGTCAATGTCAGCAGAGTGAGAGTGTGTGGTCCCTTCTGTACATACCTCTTTCCTCAAGTATGGCAAAGGCGCTTTCGAGGTTGGTTTCGCAGGCAATGTCAATATCTCGTAGTAGAGGACGTATCTCTGAGAATATAGGTGTTGGCCCCGCCCACCCGGGTAGCTTGTACTTATTAGCATAGGGCCTGCCTCGCAGCACGTTCTTGTATGCTTCAGCATAAGCATCGGCAGTGGCGCGCGGCCCCGTGAGGCCTTTTACTACGAGGTAGAACCTCTCCGAGCCAGCGACGTAGACGGATCCTCCAGAGGGGTTTGCTTTACAGGCATCGTTAATATTGGTAATATCATCTTCGCTAGGACTATCTGGCCGTATGCTCGATATGGCGCGATCGAGAGCTTGTAGCTTTAGCTTCAGATGACCAGCATCAGCGAGAGAAAAGCGCTCTGTGTCGGTAGAGGGGCTAGGCTGAGCCGGCGGCAAGATAAGTCGTCGGGCGTTCAGATCGTGAATGGTGCGAATGACCATGGTGTTGAGGGGTGGCGGTGTGGTGATGCCGTCGACGCGCGACGCGAATGGAAGAGCAGTCGGCTGCCCCGCGCGTTGGCCAGTGATGTAACTAGCCGCTCCGGCCATGCTGCGGCCCTGGAATCAGAAGCACATGCAAGACACCAGCGAGCCCATGCAATCCCATGTTTCTGACACCTGCCACCGCCCCATGACTGTATAACATGCCTCGTCCCGCCATTACCCTCTGAGTCCCTCTCCATCGCCAACACGTTTCCTCGACGCGTCCATCTTCGCGTGCTTTGCCGATCGCCCCGCCCAAGGCCGCTGGCTCCACCCTTCCAAGCTTCACGATACCACGCAAAGTCCTGGCTGAGCAAGCTGCGCGTTGGCGGCGGCGCCCCTCCAGTCGACAGAATGGCTGCCCCGGATAACAAGCAAGGCTTCCTCTCCAACCTCTCCCCCTGGCCTTCACGCGCCGGCACTCCCAAGCCCCCAGCGACACCCAAGGCCGAGGGAAGTGCGGACAAGGCGAAGAAGGCAGAGCAGGAGAAGGAGAAGGATAGAGCTGCGGCAGTGCTGGCTCCCCAGCAGGGAGGAGACCATGTGATTGACCGGAGGTACAGGCTGAGTCTCAAGCGGTACCCCAAGGACTGTCCTCCGCTGGCTGTGAGGTGGTTCCATGCTATAGATGTAAGTAGTCAATATACACCTTTGGGCTTTCGTCATCTCCACAGCGCTCCCGCCTTCCGTTGCGGCACTGACTTTGGCAGACGCCCAAGCGCAAACCCCTCTCGAAACATGCCATGGCCCCAGACACGGCCCTGCCCAAACCCAAGAAATGGATACCCTTCGGGGCCAGCGACTCTCGCGCCATCGAGGCCGCCTTCCAGAAGACTGCCGACGAAGCCGATGCCGACGAACTGCGAAAGGGCATCATCAGCCCCACGACGCCCACCCACGCGAGCGCGACTCCTCCCAAAACCACAAAGGTGCCCGTCAACGAAGACTACCTGTTCGATGTCGAGATCGAGACACGCGAGCTGGCGCCATCATACTGGCTGGGTCCGGTATACGATGTGAAGCGAGGGACGTGGTTCACACCGGATGGGGAGGCTGTCGATGAAGGTCTAGCCATGCAGCTCGAGGAAGGCTACCTGAAAGTCAAGCCATGGAAGTTCGGGAAGCCGGAAGAGAAGCGAGCAGTTTCGCAGCCCCGCGCTCGGCCGCTCTCCATGGGCCCAAGTGCTGGCGAGGACCACCGCAAAGAGCTGGCCAGGCTGAATCGCGATTCGACATCCAACCCAGTCACGCCTAAGTCGTCGTATGATAATCTACAGAAAGAGGCTTCGAAACAGTCGAACGATTCCAACCCCGGCGATGCATCTACGACCTCCAATGCGCCCGCCGACTTACCGCGCACACACCGACTGTTCGGCGCACATCTGAACTCTACCGTTACCTATCAAGACGAGACGACAGCCTGGATGTTGACTGATGACATGTGGTCGCGCATGGGCAGTACCCTGTATCAGCGCTTCGCTGGAGGAGCCCATTATGCTGGGTACAAATACATCCGAGGGTACACCGATCCCAAAGAAAAGAAGAAACAACCGACCCCAGGGAAGGGCCCTCAGAGCGCAAAACAGGAGGATCGACCGGCTACACCCGCCCTGGCATATGGCTCAGATCACGGCAAGCAGTCGGACTCTGATGCTGATGGAGAAACGTCTGAAAACGAGCGAAGCATGTCGCCTTCCCAAACGCGCAGGCGCAATCTCGAACGACAGGTCTCGTCACTGATGACATCCTCGAAACCAGAATATGAGCAACAACAGGAAGAGGAGATGCGAAAGCGCGAGGAGAAAGAGATGCGGGAAGACTACAAAACCCAGCATGGGAGTGATCAAGACCGTGATATTGAGCATCTGCTCCTAGTAACACATGGCATTGGACAACGTCTCGGAATGCGAATGGAGTCTATCAACTTCATTCACGACGTCAACACTTTGCGCAAGTCCCTCAAGTCTGTCTACTCAGCTTCGCCGGATCTGCAAGCCCTGAATGCGGAAACGGACTCAGAGACCAAGAACAACCGCATACAAGTCATCCCCATCATTTGGCGGCACTTACTGGACTTCCCTAAGCAAAGCTTGAAGCACAACCGCAAAGAACACGACCTAGGCGATCTCGACCATGAAGATGAAGAGTATCCTAATCTCGAGGACATAACCGTTGAAGGTGAGTTGGGTGATCCGGTCCTGAGCTAGACCCGATAACTAACAACACAGGCGTTCCCGCTGTTCGCAATTTCCTTACTGATCTCGCGCTTGACATCTTGCTGTATCAAAGCCCCGCTTACAAGGGCCATATCTCTCGCATCGTCGTTAATGAATTAAACCGCACCTACCGCCTATTCAAGGAGCGCAACCCATCCTTTAAAGGCAAAGTAAGCTTAGTCGGGCACTCGCTCGGGTCTGCCATCATGTTCGATATTTTATGCATCCAAAAAGACCCAAAAGCCAAACCAAGCACACAATCGGCCAAACAGCGAAGATCTACCGAAGAAGGCCTGAAGCTGGACTTTGAGGTGGAGGACTTCTATGCTCTTGGATCGCCTATTGGCCTGTTTCAGATGCTCAAGGGGCGTACCATTGTTGGAAGACCGCAGAATTCTACCACTGGATTTGTTCCGCCAAAGACGCCTGCGACATCGATTGATGACCCGTTCTCACAAGGCGGAGACGAGCATGCGTTCGACATCACGACTTCCTCGCCTCTCTGCAAGCAAGTCTTCAACATCTTCCATCCGACCGATCCGATTAGTTATCGCATCGAGCCGTTGATATCGCCAGCCATGTCAGCCCTTAAGGCTCAGCCTCTACCTTATACCAAAAAGGGCATCTTCGGTGCGCCTGCATCGCAAGGCTTTACTGGTATTGGACAGCGCGTTGGCCAGGGTGTGACAGACTTTTGGACTTCTCTAGGATCTGGTAAGTTCAGATCGCTTCTGACTACCTGACATATCTGTTACTATGAGCTGTCTGCTGACAACACATGTGCTAGGTATCGCCAGTGGACTACTCAACCGCAGTCTCGGCATATCAGGAACCGAGATGACAGGCGCAGGCAGCAATACACAAGGACAGCGCACCTCTCGACCCCTCACCGCTGCGGCGCCCGCCCCAAATAGCGCTGTAAATCTCGTGCCAGGACTCAACGAGCCTACCAGTGCCTTCATCAGCGAAGAGCGTCGCCGCCGCCTCGGACAAGAGACCATTGCAGAGGGCACAGACGGCGAGCACCCTCCGACGCTTATCGAAGGGGACATTGAGACACTCTTTGCTGGTTTCCAGAAGCGAAGAGCAAGTCAACAAAGCGAAGACGGCGAGCGAGACGTAGAGAAAGATCTCGAATGGCAAGAGCTTGAAGAACGAAGTCGCAAACTTAAGAAGGAGGAAGCCAAAGTCCGAGCCCTGAACAGCAATGGTCGCGTGGATTACAGTATCCAGGAAGGCGTAAGTAACAAAGCCATCTCCGTGTGTAGGTTGCGGTTTGCTGACATTGCAACAGGCTTTTGATATCTCGCTGCTGGCGAGCATAGCGAGTCACATGACATATTGGGCCGACGAGGACGTTTCGCATTTCATGATATCGCAACTTTTGGCGAGACATCGCGTTTTCAAGCCGAAGGAGTGAGTTTTGCTCGAAGACTAGGCAGTAGATTGATGATATACCCTGAATAGATTCCTGATATCTTCATTGATGGACGCGAACAGGACGATAGTGAGTATCATGGGATGACTTATATAGTCTGACCTGTCCGTGTTGTTCTGAAGTTGTTATCTTGGGCTAATGCACCCTTCCGCCGGTGATCATTCTAGAGACGACAGGGCATTTCTCCGCCAGGTGTTTGCTGCAAGGCGCGGACGTGCGTTTGCTATGCGCGCAGTCTTCTTTGTTTGCGCTTTCCTTACTTTCACGCCCCAGAAATCGCATTGGGAAGCGCGTCGCACAGACTTTTCGAGTAGCATGATCTCACTGACCGCGAACAAGGCAGTCGCGACATCGACCCGCACAGCCACCTCTCCACCCGCACCCGCAACGATGGCCACTCCAACAACCAATTCGACAATCGCTCCCGCTACCAATACCGCCACTACGTTCAATTTCCTACGTCGCATCAGAACGCGAGTCGTAGATTTCTTCCTCCCCGGAAACATCCGCCAAGAATATCGCAGGATCATCGCGCCTCTCGCCAAGTACAGATATGCATTCGTCGCACTTGTCGCCAGTACTCTGTTTGCGATCGCAGAGTATGAGCAGCCCGGATACTTGCCCAGACCCCAAGAGTTGACCAACGCCGTGGTATGTACGTCGAGGAAGCCACCTGGAAGACATTACTAATGGCTTGTAGATCGGCTTCCTGTGTGCGAGCATGCTGATCTTCGCTGCTTTCGCGTTGATGGAATACACCGAGACGCACACCTGGCCTTGGGAAGACGAGGGCTTCGTGTGGCCGTGGCAAGCGCTGCTGTGGAGTCAGACTGCATACGTCGATGAGACGATGGGAGAGAGCGTCGCTGCGTATCGCAACATGAACATGATGGCGCCCTCGATCCGGGTAGATGGAGGGGAAGAAGCTGAGGTACTGCAGGAGACTGCATCTTGGAATGACAGTACCAGATCCATGGCTGATTCTACACTCGGCTCTACTACCCCGGCTGGCTCGCCCGCTCGACCCGACATCGTCATCCCGCCTACGCCCTTGCTGCCTGGTGGCCTTCGTCCAATCCATCTTCCACCACCGCCGGTGCATCATTCTGGTCTCTTGGGGGAGTCGCCGGCGCCGATCAAGTTCAAACACTTCAGCGGGCACCCAAGCTTGGAGAATGTTGATGAGGAGTAGATTGGGATAGCCCAGAGGTGTATGCGGACATTCGAAGCAAAGAACGTGGGGATTTTGGAATGTCGCGCTATGCTTCAGCGGCCTACAGGCTGGGAGATGTCAAAGTCCGGAGTAGTCGAGGATATCAAGGGTAGGTATAATGAATCACTTCAACAGAGGCAAGCTTGGTTTGGAGATGATATGAAAAGGCAGAAAAAGTACCATTCTCAGCTATCTACTA